TATGCCGTCAGTGGTGCACTGCCAAGGCTACTCTTTAGTCTTGATTCTTTTTTGATGCGCACCCCTCGCAGGGATTCGGGGGTGCCAACACGCAGCGTTTCGGAAAAATGGGAGCTCTTCTCCAGATGCTACAGTTGCCTTGGATAGTGATCGGAGATTTCAACATTGGAGTTGACACCTTTCGCAAGTCCAACTTTGTTAGGCGCGTAGGGGGTCACATCAGGCAGTCGGAAGTGGACTACACTTGCGTCGGGAGTGCAGGTAGTACACATATCGATTTTGTGATGTCGTCTGAGAATGCGTTGCCGTATATTAAGTCTCTTGAAGCTAGATCCGATGTCCCGTGGGGGCCGCATGTAGGTTTGGAGCTCACACTTCACGGTTCTGGTGAGCAATTACTGCAGCGTTCTCTCGTCACCGCCCCGCGCCTGCCGCAGGTCCCACGCCCGAGCATTAGTCCCGTGGCAGGGTCGAAGTCGAGCAAGGCGCGTGCGGAGCAGCAGGTTCGGTCACAGATTGCCCAAGACAGGATACGAGCCGACTGCGACGAGATTGTTTCAGATGTTTTTGTTTCAAAAGCTGGCCCCTCTGGCGAACCCACTCAGGACGGTCCCGATCCCCCCGAGGGTCCGAACCCCCAGGAGGTGGCTGAGCCCAGAAGTGGCTCGGACGATTTCGGGGACCTTGTCGAGTTCGGGGCCTTCGAGGATGAGGAGGAGGACCCGTGGGCGTCAGAATCATGCTTTCGGCCAGCTTGCAACCAGGGTGCTGGCGATCTAGGAGCGTCTGGTGAATCTGGCGAGTCCGCGCAGCATGAAAGCTCTCCCGTAATTGGCGAAGTGTTGAGGGATGTCTCTGCGGTCCCCACTGTCGAGCGTCCTGGGGGCTCGGGCGTCAGCACGGCTGGCGATCAGATTGATCCGCCCTCGTCTGCCGATGCCGCTGCGGCCGCCCTTCCCTCTTTCGCCATCCCCCCTTCCACCTGGGCAGCCGTTGCGGCTCAAACTCCGTGGCTTTCACACTCCCTTGAGGACGTCTGGAACCCCATCAGACGGTCCCTCGCTTTCTCGGCAGGGCAGCGCCACATCCTGCCTATCAGCAGTTGCCTCGCCCGATGGGTGACCACGGTCGAGGGCGCGATCGCGGCTCATCACGGAGGGACGGCACCAATGCAGTCGAGGGTCAACGGCGTTCAGCTGGTCGTCGGCCCAGTCAGGGAGCCAGAGCGCGTCAGGTCGCAGCCGCTACGCGATGGTGTGGCAGCATGGTGGAGCAGAGGACATTCGATCCTCAAACAGGCGTGTCGAAATCGGCGGCGTAACAATGGCAGCTTGCAAATGGGGCATCTTACGCAAGCAGCGTTGGGTTTAGCGGATCAGCCGTTAGACGGAGCAGGTTCATGTTTTGCAGGCGTGCTCGGGCTCAGCTGGGCTCAATTCCTTGCAGCACTTCGGAGCTTGCAGGCCCAGTCCCTGGACGAGCTTGTTCTACTGGAGGAGGTGGCGTTCAAATCGGCGAGGAGAGCGCAGAATCGTGCAGCTTCGGCGTCTCTGCGCGACTTCCAGAGTTGGATTGGCTCGGTGGACAGTTTGGGCGCTGTTCACAGGTCCATCAAAGATCTGGCCCCAGAAGTGGACGAGTATCACATCGGGGATAAGAAGCTGGTGCACCCGCTGGAGATTGTTGACTGCAAAATATCTCGGTGGCATCAGTTGTGGTCCTCCAAAGTGTCAGAGCACGACGACATTATGCGGGCGTGTGACATGATTCGTGAGCACGCCGAGGTGGAGCAGCTGGCACCCCTCTCCATCGAGGAGGTCAGGGGAGCCCTGGCCAAGATGAAGCCCCGCGCGGGGCAAGGGGTGGACAGGCTGTCGCCCTCGGACTTCAGTCGCTTGCCAGACCAGGCCATCAGTGACCTTGTGGAGTTGTTCACGATGATCGAGCAGGGCATCAGCTGGCCGTGGCAGGTGCTGTGCGTGCTGGGGCGTCTGTTCGGCAAAAAGTCGGGTGGGGATCGGTGCATCGGGCTGCTCGGCATGCTGTGCAGAGCATGGTCGCTCGCACGGGAGCCGCTGGTGCGAGGCTGGGCCGACCAGCAGGATGATTATTGGGATGCTGCCCTCGCGGGGAACAGCGCCCTGAGGGAGGCGTTCGCGCGGGCGCTGGAGGACGAGGTGCAGACCTCCCTGCACCTGCCCCATGGGCAGGCCCTGCTGGACGTGGAGGCTTCCTACGACGGCATCGAATGGCCCAGTCTAGCGGAGTGTGCGATCAGGAAAGGATATCCTCCAGTAGCGCTGTTTTTGGAGGTGCAGTTGTTCATGGCGCCTAGGTTATTATCACAGCTGGACTCGTACTCGTTACCATTCCAGGCCACGAAGTCGGTCATTCAAGGATCGCGCAGTGGCACTCGATTTGCGAAATGTATCACAGCAGTTGTATGCGAGAAGTTGGCGATTGCTCACCCGTCAACGTCTCAGAGGATTTGGATCGACGGCTTGCTGGAGCGCGCGTCGGGCAGTCGTGAACATGTTCGTGGCACTCTGGTGAAGGCGGTCACTACCACGGTGAAGGAGTTTCGGAGGCTCAAGCTGGGCATCGCGGCAAAGAGTGTGGTGGTGTGCTCCATCCACCAGGACGCGGTGCAGGTAGCTCGGAGGTTGCGGCGTCTCGGCATCGAGGTTTCCCCTGTGCAGCAGGCAGCTTACCTTGGGATCGATCTCGCGGGAGGACGTCGCCACGGTAGGGACACAGTGCGCAAGCGCGTGAAGAAGTCAGGGGCATCACACCAACGGCTTCGACATTTTGCAGCAGCTGCGAGACGGTGGTCGACCACGAGCATGATCCAGAGGACGGGCCCTCAGGCCTCGGCCTCATATGGCCACCAGGTATTGGGCTGCTTTGGGTCGGTGATGCTGAGTCACAGGCGACGGTTAGGAGCTGCAGCGGGGTCACACAAGCGGGGGCGCTGCTTGACATCTCTGTTAGCTCTACGGTTGCCAGGAGCTGATCCAGGAGTGGTGCTGCCGAGGCTTTGCATCACGCAGTGGCTTGATTGTTGGTTGCGGGAACCACGACTTCGTCCGTCCATTCGGTTGGCGTGGTCTCGTACGGTGGATAAGCTAAGCCTTGTCCCTGCTGGGCAACGGAGTCGTCACGTTCGCGGGCCAATGTCTTCAGCAGTGTTGTATTTGTTACAAGCTGGATGGATCTTGAAGTCTGCTACGGAGTGGCAGGTGCCGAGTGACGGGAGCAATATGGAGCATACTTGGGAGTTTTCCACAGATGCTTCTGTTGGCCTGGACCAGGCTCGGCCACTTCTGCAGGAGTTCGAGGACACATTGTACAGACAACTCTGGGAGGAGGCAGCTGGTTTGTTTTGTGGCGGCGGCCTAGAGCAGGGCACTGATTGGCAGAGCTACCGTGCCTACATTGGGATGCTCCTCCGCGCCAAGAAGGGCCGTCAGCTGTCGGAGCTGATGGTGACCATCGCCACGGGCGGCTACTGGACGCAGGAGCGTAAATTTTCGGCCAACCTCAGCAACTCCGACCAGTGCGAGCGGTGCGAGGAGGCGGTCGACACGCCTCTGCATCGCAATTGGTTGTGCAGTAAAAACCAGGGGTCAGCAGCATATGCCCAATCCGATTGTCTGGTCGTGGAGGCTCAGGCAGAACATGAAGCGTGCCCGTGCTTTTGGATGAGGGGTGTGATCCCCAGTGAGTGGACCCGCGTTACAGCTCCTGCTCAGGAAGAAGTTTTTTTCGGAAGGAATCTTCCCGAGGGGCGTCTCGGTCCTGGGTGTCTCGGCCAAGGGACTCGGGACCTGCCGTTGTACGTCTTCGGGGACGCCTCGGGGGGAAAAGATACCCATGATAGTAGGCTGCGTAGAGTAGGGTGTGCGGTTGCCACGTTTACTAGCTTTGTGCCTTGTGAGCTCGGTCCGTTTTTGTTTGGGCCTCTGGTGGGGTCGGCCCAAACGGTCCCCAGGGGTGAAGTTCAGGCTTTCGAATGGACCATTCGTTTCACGACTGGACCCATAGTGTACATCACTGACTGTGCCGAGGTCGCTCGAGGGTGGTATGCGTCTACGAGTGCCAGCCCTGAGGGCCCTCAGGCTGATTTGTGGCGCAGCATCGGTCTCACCCTCGCTGCTCAGAACAGGAGTGCTAGTGATATTGTTGTCTTGCAGGTCCCATCCCATTTGTCCGCCAGCGAGGTCCTCCAGCGTGGGTGGGACAGCAGGCTTGTGATAGGCAACGCGTGTGTTGATGTGCTTGCGGGGTCGGCCGCCTCTTTGGCCAGGGTCCCCGAGACCGACAGGTTCAGAGTGCACCAAGTCGAACGCAAGGCGAGACTAGTCAGGAGACGTCTTCTTAGAGTAGGGTTGGATTGTATTCAGGCTTCCCAGGCCATCAAGGCCAATGATGGGGTTCCCCTGGTTCCGCCTGGCCCCCCTGCTCCTCGGCCTCCTCCTCCTCTCGCCCTCGCCCGTTTCGCTTCTGCCCACACCCTGACCGAAAATGGCAGAGCGTGCTCGGTTTGTTTCAATTCGTGTTCCAAAGATAAAGAGTCCGAATGGTTGAAAAGCGCTTGCAACCCTCCCCTGCCTGTGAATGATAAGTTATCCCGAGCCCCCCTTGGACGGAGTTTACACTTGGCAGGTGGCTGGACGCATCCCTCACACGCCCTTCGGTATCACAAAGACCTTGGACTATGGTTTTGTGGGTCGTGCGGATTTTTCGGTCAGGCCCAGCTCAGGGGCTTAGGGAATCCTTGTCGCCCCCACCTAATCACCAAGGCCAGGCGCGAGTATTTGAATCGAATCGATCGCGACCTGTTTCCCAAGTGCTGAGCTCAGCCTTCTTATCACTACGTGATGGCGGAAATCCTGGAAATCCCCCCCCCCCTCCCGCCCCACTCCCCCCCTCTCGCCTCTGCGCGCGGAGGCGTGCCCCCTGGCCCCCAGCCGCCACCCCCCCGTGTGGCCGGGGGCGGCCTGCGCCCCTGCCGCCAGAAGAACGGGAGGTGCACCGCCGCCCCGACGCCGTCCTGGGAAGCGAGGGAGGGCAGGGGAGCAGGGGAGGAGGAGGGGAGGAGGGGAGGAGGAGGGAGGGGAGGAGGGGAGGAGGGGAGGAGGAGGAGGGAGGAGGGAGGAGGGGAGGAGGGGAGGAAGGGAAGGAGGGAGGAGGGAGAGGAGGGGAGGGGAGGAGGGGAGCAGGGAGGGAGGAGCGAGGAGAGGGAGGAGGAGGGGAGGAGGGGAGGAGGGAGGAGGGAGGAGGAAGGCCTCCCAGGCGGCCCGCCGGGGCCTCGACGATTTCTGCCTCGCCGACGCCCTGCTGGGCCCCGCCGCGCCCGCCGCCGTGCGCAAAGGAGGCCCCGGGTGCCCGGGGGCGGCCGTCGGGACCCAGGCGCCGGGGAGCCATCCTTCCTCCTTCTCCTCCTCGTCCTCCTCGTCCTCGTCCCGTCCTCGTCCTCGTCCTCCTCGTCCTCCTCCCTCCTCCTCCTCCTCCTCCTCCTCTCCTCCTCCTCCTCTCCACCTCCTCCTCCTCCTCCTCCTCCTCCTCCTCCTCCGCCTCCTCCTCCTCCTCCTCCGCCTCCTCCTCCTCCTCCTCCTCTACGAGCAGCTCCTCCCCGTCGCGCCCCGAGATGTGCCGGGAGGGCGGGCCGGGCGTTTCGCCGGAGACTGCCCCCCCGCCATCTGCGATCCTGAAGCTTTTGAAGTGTGCAGCAGCTTCGCGGGCAAAGGGGGGGCCTTTTCGAAGTGCAGTGCACGCCGCGGCGCAGCGCACAGTCGCCTTTACAAGTTCGCAGCAGCTTCACGAGTGGAGGAGGGGTCAAGGTGTGGCTCTCGCCTTTAGCGCCGCGCACAGTCGTCCAGCTTCAAGGATGGAGGGCGGGTGGTTTTCGAAATGTGGCGATCGCCTTGGCGCTGCGAACATGAATCTAAAAAGCTGGCAATAGCTTCGCGAACAGAGGGCGGGTGGTTTTCCAAATGCGGGTCTAGCCTTAGCGCCGCGCACAGTGGTTGCTAATCCAAAGTTTGCGACATGCTCAAGGATTCGTGTGGTCGGAGTCCTTGGAAAGCGTTCTGGCACAACTTGGGACTGTCAGGGCGCAACTGTAACGTTGATTCGCGGTGGGAAAGTCTCAGGAATGGTTTGTGGCATAATTCATTCAAGATTACTAGCCGGCCGCTCTGCGGTTGATCGGGAGTTTCTGTATATAGAAGAAGGTGCGTGCGCTTGTTGGCGAGGGTGAGGATGAGGTTCCTCCTCCTCCTCCTCCTCCTCCTCCTCCTCCTCCATCCTTCTCTTGCCTCCGTCTGTCCTCCTCCACCCCGCAGCTCCATCATCTTCTCCTCCTCCTCCTCCTCCTCCTCCTCCTCCTCCTCCTCCTCCTCCTCCTCCTCCTCATTCCTCCTCTGGGCACCTCCCCCGGGGCGCGGATCCACCGGATCTGTCCGGATCTGTCCGGAAACGGTGCCGGAGGCCGCTCTGGGCTCCTCTGGGCACCTCCCCCGGGGCCGGTTTTGTGAGGATGTCTCAAGCGAGGGCGCCGGTTTGGGATTCGTCCCCGGATCCAGCGGATCCGTCCGGATCCGTCCGGAAACGGTGCCGGAGGCCGCTCTGGGCTCCTGTGGGCACCTCCCCCGGGGCCGGTTTTGCGGGGATGTCTCAGGCGAGGGCGCCGGTTTGGGATTCGCCCCCGGATCCAGCGGATCCGTCCGGATCCGTCCGGAAACGGTGCCGGAAGCCGCTCTGGGCTTCTCTGGCCACCTCCCCCGGGGCCGGATTTGCGGGGATGTCTCAGGCGAGGGCGCCGGTTTGGGATTCGTCCCCGGATCCAGCGGATCCGTCCGGATCCGTCCGGAAACGGTGCCGGAGGCCGCTCTGGGCTCCTGTGGGCACCTCCCCCGGGGCCGGTTTTGCGGGGATGTCTCAGGCGAGGGCGCCGGTTTGGGATTCGTCCCCGGATCCAGCGGATCCGTCCGGATCCGTCCGGAAACGGTGCCGGAGGCCGCTCTGGGCTCCTCTGGGCACCTCCCCCGGGGCCGGTTTTCCGGGGATGTCTGAGGCGAGGGCGCCGGTTTGGGATTCGTCCCCGGATCCAGCGGATCCGTCCGGATCCGTCCGGAAACGGTGCCGGAGGCCGCTCTGGGCTTCTCTGGGCACCTCCCCCGGGGCCGGTTTTGCGGGGATGTCTCAGGCGAGGGCGCCGGTTGGGATTCGTCCCCGGATCCAGCGGATCCGTCCGGATCCGTCCGGAAACGGTGCCAGAGGCCGCTCTGGGCTCCTCTGGGCACCTCCCCCGGGGCCGGTTTTGCGGGGATGTCTCAGGCGAGGGCGCCGGTTTGGGATTCGTCCCCGGATCCAGCGGATCCGTCCGGATCCGTCCGGAAACGGTGCCGGAGGCCGCTCTGGACTCGTGCTCTTCGCGCCGGGGGTGAGGATGACGTGAGTTCCACAGAAACTCCCTCAAATCAGGATGCAGCAATCCCGTTGATTCGCGGCGCTGAAGTCCCAGGAACGGCGTGTTGGCATGACAGGAGGGTCTCAGAACCTCGTCCTCTAATGTGCTACCTTTCCAGAAGGCATACACATTAGGTTTAGAACCTGCACAAGAGGAACTTAGAAGGAGGGTTTATTGCACCATCGTTGATGCGTATTGGGTTTACAGTGGTCCTCCTCCTCTTCCTATTCTTCCTCCTCCTCCTTTTCCCTCCTCCTCCTCCTCCTCCTCCTCCTCCTCCTCCTCCTCCTCCTCCTCCTCCTCCTCCTCCTCCTCCTTTGCCCAGGAGACGGAAAGAGCGAGCCGAAGTGTGGGAGGAGGGAGGAGGAGGAGGAAGAAGAAGAAAAGGAGGAGGAACATGTGGGAACGCCTTGGCAAGCGCGGGCATGCAGAGAAGAGGGGGCAAGAGGGGCGCGATTCGGATCCCAGCGCTCTCACTCCGTAAAGGGAAAGCGCTCCTTGGCCCCTACCTTCCCGCCGCACGACGATATGGGACAAGGTTCCACCAGGGGCGGGGAGAGATCCGAGACGGCCGATCCCGCCGAAGCAGAACGCAACCGCTGCTGAACAGAAGCCAACACACGAGCTTCGTGGAGCCTGGAAACCGCCTGGGGGGCCCGCACGCGACGGAAAGAGGCCCTTGAGAACAGAGCTAAAATTATCGAGGTCCTTGCTTGTATGGACCTCACAAGTGCTCGCCAATTGTCAACCCTCCAAGGTCGCCGTGCGCCCACATCTCTGACAAAAACGCATGCCGTGCAGATCCCAAAGTCAGGGCGTGGGAAGAATGCAAGACCGCACCCCCGACCATGACGGGCTCACGGACCGCACAGACAACCCCGGAGGGGAAGGGGCTAGCCCCGACGGCAGCGATGCGGGCCTGGGAAGCCGCTGAAAAGCTGGCCCGAGAAACTAACAGCTCACAAAATTAATACTGAAAATATTTCCCTTGAGCGACATCACAATGTGGGCTCGCCTGCACAGCACCATCGAAAGCCGGCCCTCTCCTGTCTCTGTCCACAGAAGCGTGTTCGGAACGGGTCTGGCGGGGGTCGGCCAGAACTGCACCAATCAGAGCGCGACGAGCCTGGCGATGGATCAGACTGAGCACCCGCATGGACAGATTCCACAAACGCTCAACGGTTTCTGAAGCCGCCCGGTCAGCCAACTCATTGTCAGCACGCACAGACTTCTGATACTCGGACAGCTCGGGCCCGACCAAATGCGAGCGAAACGGGATTCATTTGAGGATGACGGAGCCAGGCCCTCGCGCGAGAAGCCAGATGTCCCAGTTCCGGCCCCCCACCGAGTCCACCCGCCCCCGTTCCCACGCAGACAGGAGTGGGCGATGGCCCGCGACAGAACGCACAGGGTCCCGTCCTGCCCTCCAAGCGCAACGCAAACGCCAAGAGCTCGGACCCTGGGACGGTCTGACCTCCGCAGACTGAAATTCCCGAAACGCTCCCGACCGTCCCCCACTTGGACGAACATGGGATCTTCTGGGCGGCGACGATAGCCGCACCACACCTGCGGCGCCGAGAGTCGGCGGAGAAACGCCCGCCAGAGCCATCCCAAAAAATCACCAAGGGCTCGACCGATCCCACTGGGACCGAAAGCGCCAACATCATTGACGACCCCAGTGGAAGAAGCCCTCGGCCTCCAGGAGGCCATGGAACTCGGGATGAGTGAAGTCAATCGAGGGAGCTCCACGGAGCCGCAACGCGCCAGGGCCGGCGTCGGTGCTCGCAAGGGATTGCAGAATAAGAAAATCAGGGCCCCCTCCCCCCCGTCCCCTGAGCCGCAGAGACTCAGGCCCCCCGCTGCATCGCGGGCACAGCTGCTGGTCCGCCGCGCCCGCTGGAAATGGCGGAACTCTCGGCCACTGAGCACCCGCGACCACGCTCAACGTTTGGCCAGCTTAATCGAAATCGCCACGGCTGGAAAACCTCTGGAACTCCCTCCTGGCCCCACTGGGGTCGCCACCACTGACTGGGTCCTCAGCGGCCTCGCGCTGACTGGCCTTCAGCCCAGTTCTGCTGCTCGAGGTCGCCCACCAGGACGTCAGGGACAACGCCCGCGCCCATCTCATTGCAGACAAATCCATCTCGCAAGGCAGCAGCGGGGGCACGGCGCTCCACCACAATCCCTCGCTCCATCCACCGCCAACCCGCCCCGTGGGAGCTCTCCACTCAGCGTCCAAGAAGGCGGCGATGGCCGCAGAAGCTCGGCCCCGCAGAACGCGCCAACGGTGAGAAGGTCCTGCAGCTTCGAAACGCCGAACAGCAGTGTCCCACGCAGCCCCGATCCGCCTGCGATGCTCGGGGCGAAGACGCAAAACGGCGAGGTGCCCAGCAATGAGTTGGCGGTGCAGCTCCAGGCCAGGCTCTTCGCGCCAGAAGAGGAGGGCCACTGTGCTGGCGAGACAGCGCCCTGGAAGAAGACCTGATCCAGCGTTAACTGCCCCCGGCCGATGATGGCGCAGTCGACGCTGCGCTAACCCCTGCACTCGACGCCCATGCGAAGCTCGAGGTAGTGCGCCT